GGGGCGCATGCGCAGGCGGCCCGCCCCGCTCCGCCCCCAGGCCGCGTGCGGGCCCCGGCGCCCTCGGGGTTCCAACGTCCGACCGAGCCGCTCGGGCTCTGGCTTTCCTCTCCGCGCTGCCGCCTCATTCCCGACCAGTTTTCACCGTGAAGCATTCCGCGCCATTGGCGTGTGTTTCTTAGTTTTGTTTCGCCCCTGAGCTTTGATTTCGTGCACAAACTGGGCAAATCAGGGACGGCCCTTTCCACCTTGTTTGGGTTCTGCCGTCAGGCTCGAACTGGACGCGTTTTTCCAGCACCGAGCCTCGCAACTCCTCAAAGGTAGTCCCGTCACCGGGACCCACCTGTCCGAGGCTGCGTCCCTAAAAGGCGCTCCTCCCACAGCGGCGGTCGGCGCGGCGCTGGGCCCGAGGCCACCTCCCTGGTCCTCGCCAGGCGCTGGTTTCATTTTCCTCCTGTAGGGCCGACTGTGTACACCCCAAGGACGCTGCCCTTACCATAAACCCAACCCCACAGTTGCAGCACGTGTTAGTGCCTTCTTCGGGCCTTTCTTCTGAAGGATTTTATGATTTAAAGGGGGTGGAGGATGTGGATCACGGATGGGGGCAAGGCCGCAGTCTGTTAGGAACCCAGCACAGAGCTGTGCGGAGGCAAGCGAAGTGTCATCTATGCTTAGCGCTGCTTCCCACCACAGCATCGCTGCCCCAGCCGGCCTCCTGTCAGTTCAGCCAGGGGTTAAATTCTCAGAGAAGAACCAAGCCCGTGAGAGGAAGCGCGGCATCTAGGGCCCTCTGGGGGAGCTGAGGCGGTGATGCTAGCACTTGGGGGCAGCTGCGAAACCAGCGTGCCGAGCAGAGACGCCAAGTGCTTGTAGACTCAGATCACGTGCAAGTGACTGCATCTGGAGGGTGATGAGCTTTGGTGGCAAGCAAGCAGAAGTAGTCGTACAGCTGCATCTGCTGACAGGCTTGAAGTCACAATCTTGACACTTGAGCTTGTGCATGCCCATTCGTTTTATTTACCACCCGTGTCCACACCTCTTTCCCACACTGCATACTTGCCTCAATCACATTTTGGTAAACCCACAAGCTAATCCTAACCGAAATGCATAAAAGCAAATGTCACTAGAAGGCTTCTTTGAAAGGGGAAAAGAGTAGTGAGACAAGACTCTTCCAAGGCCAGCAAAAAGAAAAATACATTTAAAGGAAATACCAAGAGTCTTACTTAAGTTTTGGGTTCATTTTCACAGGTGACTCTCATTCTCCAAGCCTGCTTTGTATATAATGTGTGTCGACAGCTGTCTTGACAAAGATTGTATGAAAGCTCCAAACAATCCTTGTTTAGATACTTCGTAGTATTTTTTTGAAAATTAGCCGTATTTTTTTTGGAAATAGTCATCCAAATTTGCAGAAGTTCACAAAATGTCTCAGATACACTAAAGGAAAACTGCTGTGGAGGCCATTGAGATGCTCTCCTAGAGCTCAGAGGGCGCCCTGCAAGTCCGGTGCTTGTCTCGGCAGTATCACTTCACTGTTGTTGATTACTGATGCATCTACAGATCTGAGTACATACAAAACCCACCTAATATCCTTAAAGGTTTTCCCCCCAAAAGTCCTATTTTTGCTTAGATTTTCCCTCTTATTAAATGCTGCATAGTATTCAGTTCCTAACTTTTTTGTTTGGATTTCAGAATAAAAAGGGGCTTACTATACATACTCAGTTTCTCCTAAAGTGAAAACAATTTGAAAAATCATTTTCAGTGTAAATAAAACTACTATGAATTACACATCAGAATCTTTGTTTTTTGAAAACTTTATGAAGTATAAAAAAATACAATGAAAACAATTTTTGTTGCCTTTTATTGTCAACAATGATTACTCAAATAAAAAAAGAAACCTTTATTGACTAACGTCGGTTATTGAAAAGCCAAACCTTTCCGGCCCACTTCATATTCTCTTTCAGCCAATTCAGGGCAGAACAGTGTTCCAAACTGTAAACCTGCTCCGTATTAACATTGATGGTCATGTGCTTAATAAAAAGCTTTGGGTTCGATATGTGAGCAGCCAAAATTAACCTTTTGACTGCAGCTTGATAATCATCCTTGCTCCAAGATTTATTTTCTTCACATCTATAAAGCAAACACCTCACAAAGTCAGAAATTCTAAAAAGCAACAATATGATTTCTTCAAGAGTCGCTTACTCGTCCAACACTATGATAGTCTTTCACTTTATTAGAAGTGGCCTTCAAATGGTTTGAACTCTGACCACAGAAGGGCATTTCGTATTATGACCCAAGAGCACAGCTTTCTGTGTAAGAGTTCACGTCCCGCAGGGCAAGACTGACCCCGACGGGGAGGCACTCTCTTTCCCACTCTTTCAGTTTTAGTAACGCTGGCTGGAACACACTAGTGATTTCAGCACAAGACAGGCTGTGACTGAACACTGACCTAAAATACAACTAATTACCTCTATCATTGTACTTGCCAAGAATGACTGTACAACTACCCATTCTATTGTACATTCTATGTAATGAAGTTTTTAATAACATGCTAATTTTATCTTGATATTGGCTATTTTTAGATAAAAGCAAAAATTTAATACATACCTAATGTGCTAACAGAAACTCTACAGCTATATGCCTCTACTACACTTCTGGTTATTTTCCTCAGTCCTGCCCAATTAAAGAGATTCACTGCGTGCTAGAATGTACTTTTCCCATAGCTTTTCTATTCAGATCCATCTGTCACAAACTGTATGAAATTCATACATTATAGCAGCTTCCCTCTGGCTGAGGAATGGGAACAGAGGTGGGGCTCTTCTGGTAGGCATCATTTTATCCCCGTGTGTGCTTCCTGCTCTTGCTACCTTGGCAGGGCACATTCTGAGTATGACCTGGGCTGCACTAGCGCCACCACCATGCGGCCACTGGGTCTGGTGTGCAGGATGTATAGGAGCCAGTGTGAGAGGAAACAGCAGCAGGTGCTTTCTCCCGCATCCTAGTTAGAAAGGCTGATCTGGGCACGTGCCAACTGTGTACAGCGCTTGAAAGTCTCAAGATGAATAAAATTCTCATGGCAATTCATGTAAGAAGCATGGCTTAGCATACTAAGCCCAAGAGGAATCATACTGGCCTGGATAAAATCAAAGATCTAGGCATGTCATTCATGAGGCACCATGGTTACAAAACACCCCAAATTCAACAACCAATAGAAACTGCTCATGTGCAGGCACTGGAAAGCTATAATGGTGGGAGTGTCATACCCTAACAGACAGCCCTCTGAGAGTTGAGAATCAAGACTTTTCTGGAGGTACCAGGAATTGAACTCAGGGCCTCATGCTTGCCAAGCAGGCACTATGCCTCTGCTACATCCCCAGGTGAGAGCTATAAGAAAAAAGGGCTAATTTTAGTTGGGTTTAAACACAATGTACCCTGTTTCCTACAAAGAACTCTTGCCTCTCAAGGCTAGTTTGTACCAAACCGTTGCAGACTTCAGTGACTCCTACAATAACCACCAAAAACAGAGGTGACATATCCCACCCTCTCTTGGATTTCAGGATGTTTTCCGAGGGACACTACACCTTGTTCTAATTTCAAAGATGCTTACAGTGAACAACTCTGAAAGATGGCTTTCCCTGGGGAGCAAATGCAGCACTACTCACAGCCTTGGAACACAGACACGGCAGCTCCCCGGGCGGGTGTGCTGCTTGCCCCCAGCATGACTTGGGCCTTTCTCCTCCCCTGCTGCAGAAGCCCGTATGGGCAGGGATCTGGAGCGGCCCTCTGTGGGCCTGAGAAGCACAAGTGGTCAACACAGCCACGCAGCTATCAAGCTGTTTGCCGCGTGCAAGTCACAGTCCTCTGGTCCCACACAGGAGTCTTGCATCTTAGGCTAGCTTGTACCAAACTGTTAAGGAGCTAACTCGCAGCTTGCAAAGCTGGGCAGAATTTCAGGCCCTTCACAGTTCTTCCTTGACATAGATCGCAAATGCTTTTCTCTCTTGGGTTGGTCTGGGAGAAGTTAGCTAACAACAGATTAGGAAGGAACATCAGGCCCTGAGGTTTCCTGCCAAAGCATCTGAGAGAGCCACCCAGGGGAGGGGCCCTCCAGCCCCAGTCACACCACGATGCAGGTGACCACAGCTCCTGACATCCTGACCCCACAATGAAGAACTGGGAGCCACATGAAGATCCTGAGCCAAAACCATTCATCTAAACTGTTATAAAATTTCTGACACAAAGAAATGAAGAGAATGTACTGCTCTAAGCCACTGGGTTTGAGGTAGCCTGTTAAATGGTAATACATAACTAAGACAGAACAGAGTCCAATCTGATGATGTGGCTTGTTAACACCAGTAAACTGCAGCAAAATCCCCACCAAGAAGCTCTCAAGAGTTGCAGGAGATCCTTTCTGATATTATAGGTTCCTGGATAAGGATACCGAGAAACAAGAATTGTAGGACTCAAAATTCTGGGACTCTGAAACAAATGACTTGGAAAGGTGTCACGCTGGTCCCAGACCTATATTATCATATTTATGCATGCATAACAGCATCTGAAAATACAGAAGGTCAGCTGAAGGTTTTATTCAACAGTATTCTGGGCTGAACTTAATACACTATCTTACATTTCTCTTCTAGACCTTGTCTTCAGATTTTTCAGGAGTGATCAAAAAGAGTGACTTTTAGGTATGAACCTCCAAACACAAGAAAGGTAACCCAACACCTAAAGACCCAGTTTTCTGAACATCTACCAACACTTCGGAAGTCACTGATATGTACTGAGTGCTAGTGACTGTGTGTGTGTGCTGCGGGGGGCAGCGGTGCGGGGGCTCCAGCTAGGGCTGGGGCACGTTAAGCGTGTCCTCAGCCTCGGAGCTGCACTGCTAGCCCCTTGTCTTGGTTTTAAGCCTCAAATAGGCCTAATTCTCTTTTGTTGTTCTCTTTTTAGTTTTTTTTTGTCAAAGGATTTTGCTGTGTAGTTCAGGGTGGCCTTGAATTCATGGCGATCCTTCTGTCTCAGCCTCCCAAGCACAAGGGATCACAGACATGTGCCACCATGCCTGGCAGGCCTAATTGTCGGTATAAATGCTAATGAAGTTTGTAACATATACACATAATAGGTATTAATATCTAAACATAAAACATATATTCTAGAGCAGGGGTGGAAAGCCACGAGCAACATTCAGAATGCAGATAAAGTTTTATCAACCAACCTTTTCAAAACTATCTGTAGCACCTGTGTAGAAGTTCCTGGACTCTGAATACTACTAGCATTAGATACCAAGAAGATTTCAATAGCTAAAAGCATTTCAATCTCAGATAAATAACAAGGGATCAGTAGAAGTTTTCGGTATAAATTTCCCTCCAATGGTGGGTAGCAACCCAGAGAAACAGCACCTAGAAGTTAAATAATATATCAATTTGGCTTGAGCTCAAACTGAGACTTCCAAAATATCAAAATATCCATAGGTGATAGTAACTTACAGAATTATTCTTCACACAAGAATATGTAAATTATATGGTAATAAATCTATTGTTTGCACTACCGAGGGTCCATCCAACGTTGCTTTACCTTTTAACTACATCCTGGAGTAGCTAGGGTTACAGAATTACAGGACTATGCCAGTACACCCACCTCTGAGTACAGTAGATATTACTCTAATTTTTTTTAAATAATAAAATAATTTTTAAAAACACTCTGAAAGACTTTTGAGTTTCATGGTTGCAAATTTCCATTTATTGCAATCCATAGTAAATACACCATAATTTCAGGATAATCAATAAATCAGATTAGCTAAGTTTTGTTTTAATGGGATTTGGTATAACAGCAACTTATATATATTTATAATATATACTATATATTTAGCTGTCAAATAATTATAGTGTTGTCTTTTTTTCTTTTTAGTATTTTTGAGCATGCTTGCTTCTGGTGCCACTGCGGTTCGAGCCGTACTTGGCGTTCTGTGTGTCTGTGTGACTGCCCACTAAGTGCTTAGAGGGGAAGTCTATTTCCATTCTGTAGTGCTCAGTACCCCAGCTGTACACGCCAGTTTACATCCTAAAACTTGTCCTTTCAAGAGAAAAGATTTTAACCTGCTTACGTGGTTTTTAGGCGTGCTAAGTAGGGAAAATCTCTTTACAACTCCTAGGATATCAGACGGTAAGTACACAAGCAACATCACAGTGTGATATTTTGCCAAATTGAGTAAATCTGTATGTAAAGTCTACTCAAACATTTTAAGTTCTTCAAGAACCATTTCTGGGGAACTGGGAAGATAGCTCAGCAGCCTAAGCGCCTGCCTGGCAAGGGCAAAGACCTGGGTTTCCGCTCGAGTACCCATGCCATGCCAGCCCTGGAACCCGAGGCATGCCAAGCCAGCCAGTGAAACCAGACGTGGTGGCGCACACCTGTAATCTCAGTGCAGGGAGGCTGAGACAGGAGGATCACTGCGAGTCCAAGCTGTGTAACGCTGGACCAAATAATTTTTTTTTCTTAAAAGAACCATTTCTAATGTGGATGCTATCTTCTGGTCCTTGGGAATTTACCATGTTGTCTGTACTGAGCACCTCAATTTAACCTGACATTTTACTACCTCTGAAATTGAGTGGCCTTGCTCCCATGTTATAGACAGGATTATAAGACACTAAAAAGTTTTTTATTGCAAATGTTGAGCTGTGTCTGAACATAAATCAGAAGGATGTTCTAGTAGTAGTTTAAATGTGAGCACTGAGCTGCTCTGAGGACTTCAGTGGCTATAAGTCATTTAACTCGTTTTGTAATTCAGGCACATTAACAAATGAAGAGTCTCTACCCCATCGCCTCACACACCTAACCCTCAGAAGCACGTGCCCGTGCAGTGAGCGCAGCGTCCGTGCAGCCACACAGGTCAGTGCACAGCTCAAAGTGTCTTTAAAAGTTATCACCAGGGATGAAGGACTTGGGAGCGAGGAGCGACTGCTTACATGCATGCAGTTTATTCCTGGAGTGACAGAATATTCTAAGATTGATTGTGGTACTGACGATACTGCCTTTTTTTTTTTTTTTCGGAACCAGGGATTGAACTCAGACCCTTGCGCTTGCCAGGGAAGTGCTTATTTCACTGAGCCATCTCCCCAGCCCCTTGCTTTGTAAATACACTAAAACAACTGCATTGTATAATCTAAATGGTGAATTGTATGGTATTTGAAAATATGGTTCTTAAAAAATTGTTTTATTGGCTGGGGAGATGGCTCAGTGGAATAAGTGCTTCCCTGGCAAGCACAAGGGCCTGAGTTCAATCCCCGGTCCCCCCCCCAAAAAAAAAAAAATATTTGGTACAGGATCTCACTACGCAGCTAGGACTCTCAGTGATCCTCCTGTCTCAGCCTCCCTGCACTGAGATTACAGGTGTGCGCCACCACGTCTGGTTTCACTGGCTGGCTTGGCATGCCTCGGGTTGCAGGGCTGGCATGGCATGGGTACTCGAGCGGAAACCCAGGTCTTTGCCCTTGCCAGGCAGGCGCTTAGGCTGCTGAGCTATCTTCCCAGTTCCCCAGAAATGGTTCTTGAAGAACTTAAAATGTTTGAGTAGACTTTACATACAGATTTACTCAATTTGGCAAAATATCACACTGTGATGTTGCTTGTGTACTTACCGTCTGATATCCTAGGAGTTGTAAAGAGATTTTCCCTACTTAGCACGCCTAAAAAAACCACGTAAGCAGGTTAAAATCTTTTCTCTTGAAAGGACAAGTTTTAGGATGTAAACTGGCGTGTACAGCTGGGGTACTGAGCACTACAGAATGGAAATAGACTTCCCCTCTAAGCACTTAGTGGGCAGTCACACAGACACACAGAACGCCAAGTACGGCTCGAACCGCAGTGGCACCAGAAGCAAGCATAATCAAAAAACACTTAGCTGCTTTAATACAAAATTTTATTTCAAACTAAAAAATATATTCATAGAAACATATTTAAAGGTTTAAAGGTCATTTTCAGGTTTACACTTTGTTCAGACAACATGCAAATACCTCTGATGGCACGTCAGCCTAGTTCATCGTTATCTGGAAACTATCCCATGACTTCAGTTCTAAAAGCTACCGCCAGAGCCCCGCAGACGATGCCCACGCCTGCTGAGGGCGCGGTGGGCTGCGGCTCCAGCAGGCTGCGGGGAGGTGGGATAGAGCTGGAACGTGCACGCGGCTGAGAGCAGGCGTGCGCGTGCAGCATTCTTACTTCTTTAAAAACATTTTTTGTCATCCTCTTCTAAAAAAATTCTGCATTCAAAAAAATCTTTAAAATACATTTTATGTAATGACCTGGCACACATGCATGTGTGTTACCGAAGTGAAAATTCAGTCCAATATTTCACCTGGCTACCCGTGACACACCCTAACGGCTGCTTCCCCTCTCAGTGGGGCGGCAACGCCCTCGTGCGCTACAGTGGTCACATGGGGACCTGGGGAGCCGGCTCAGGTGGAGGCGGCCTGGATGCTGACACATCCGGCTCAGGAAGACAGAGCACAGACACACAGGGAGGGGTTTGCTATATAAATGGCCATGGCAAGAAATGGAAAATTCAGACAAATTACGCTTGAAGGAAGGAAAATTCTTTTCTAGATCTAGATTTCACGTGGAATTATTTCAGAACTGAATACCTTTGGGGTGGCCGAGACCAGAGAAAACACTGGTTTTCCAGGCCCATTTGTTGAGAGGAATAACTGCGAACAGACTGGCATGGCCTCGCGGCCACGTGAAACACTGCTGTGCACCACAGGCCACAGCGACGGGCACCTCGGCGGCGCCTCACTGCCTGCGTGGTGGACTCCGAGGTTCCAGGACCCAGGATACAGTGGGGATAAAGCAAGTGTGCAGATATTCCTTTAAACTTCACTCTGTATAACTCCTATCTTATTTATAAGATAGGTCAAAATGGTCCAAATTCTGTCACTTATTTCCTGTGCTTGCCCTCCAGCAGATATGCCAGTGTGTAAAACAATAAAGATGCAATAATTGGAAATGAGAAATAACAAGCTTCCGAAGCACACATCTGTTTAGACCTCTGTTTCTGAATCTGTATCAACTATTATTTTTACATATTTAAAAATATGGCCTGGGGGCCTGGCCCTAGCTCAGGCCTTTAAGTGGCTGCTTCCACAAAGCTGTCAGACTCAGGTTGCTGGAGTTCGAACCTCACACCTCTCCAGCTGGCCAAAAGTGCCCTGAAGGCATTCGAGGAACAAA